TCAGGCAACGTGCGGCGCGTGTCGGTGTGGATTGGTGGAAAAGTGTACCGCGAGAAGATCACGGTCGATAGGACGAAGCCGCTCTTGACGTTTTACGGAGATGAGAACGACATGCGGGTCATAACGTACAACGGCACGGCGTTGCAGTATGGGACGGTGTATAGCGCCACCGTGGCCGTCGAATCCGACTACTTTGTTGCTGTCAATATTGCATTCGTGGTACGTTTGAATATATGCATGCATGATTTCACGTTATTTATAATTTGTTTCATTTTTTTTTCTTATACACATTTATATATACGTAGACATACATGTGAATTCTTTTTTTTTTTTATGGCTATAATGTTTTGAAAGTTTAAATATTCAAGCACTACTTTGAAACGTGATATATTCCTTTCAAATAATTAAAAAAGAAAAGGGAATAACCAAACTTCCGATTGATGAATGCTAAAGTAGAATAGTGTGACATGCACTGCTTTCAAACATTTGCCGTGCCTTAATTTTAATTGGTATAAATCGATTGAAGTTAATCTAAATATGGATGTATTTGTGTGTGTCTAGCTATATATATATATATATATATCCATACTTTTCGTATAATTATTACTTTTGTGTTTCATAATTTGGACACCAAATATGATTGAGTAAACGCAATATATGTGTGTGTATATATACGTATTTCTTTTTTCTTTCCCTGAAATATTGACCGTGTGCCATTAATATTATATATAACTTGTAGAACTCGGCTCCAATGCCGGATGGCATTAGGAAGGGAGCACAAGCGGTGGCGATGAGAATATTAGGAGACAAGGCATCCTTCCATAACTGCAAATTCATTGGCTTCTAAGATACTTTATGCGATGACAAGGGCAGGCATTTCTTCAGGGATTGTTACATCCAAGGCACCGTCGATTTCATCTTTGGGAACGAAAAATCTCTCATTCTATTATACATATATGTGTCACGTATATATATTTACCGAATGTATACTCCCATGCATGCATTTATAATTTCAAACATGAGGAATGTGAAAAAAAAAAAAAAAAAAAAAAAAAAAAAAAATCTTACGGTACTAGAGAAGTTAATGAAGATGGAGTTTTTTTTTTTTTTTTTTTTCCACCGTCATAAAATTTCAAAAGACATTGTGAATACATAGAATTAAGAGAAAATTGTTGAACTTGCGGTTAGAATGCATGATTTTGAATTTTTACCTATTACTCTTAATTAATACATTTTTTATTAATATAGTTATGTGACTACAAAATATTAATTATGAATAAGGAGTAACAATTCAGACTCATGCACTTTGTAAAGTATTTGTCTCATTTTCCTAAAAACTAACGTTATAATATTGTTAAAAGATGAGTGAGACATATACAATTAGTTGTGTTGAAATAATATAGTAAAACATTTAAATATCTTACAAATTACAAAATTAAAATTGATAGGATAATTTTTTTGATGCGTAATTTTGTTTCTCTTAAAATATTTATAAAAAATTGTCATACCTCAATTTTACCCTTGTAAATATATCATGTAGTGTGGTTTTTGCGATGCAGAATACAACCATAAGGTCGGTTGCCAAGGGTATGGGCGTAATTACAGCACAAGCGAGGGAAACGGACACGGTCTCGGATGATAGCGGGTTTACGTTCATTCACTGCAAATTCATCCAGACAGGCAACACTTACATGGGCCGGGCCCGGAAGGATAGGCCTAGAGTTGTGTTTATTTAACACCCGAGAAATAGTAGAAAATAGTTTAAGAAAATATATAAGTTAATTTTTAGTTATAAAAATTAATAGGTCATAATTTGTTAAGTTATAGTTTATAATTAGATAAGTTATAGATAAATTTGTCAAGTTATGGTTCATAGCCAGACAAATAATGGACAAAAACCGTGATTTATGGACAATAACTTGTCAAGTTATGGTTCATAACCAGAAAAATTATAGACGAAAATAATAATTTAACCTATTTATTAACTCATATAAATTATTGACCTATTAATTTTAATTTATCTCAAATCTTGACATATTTCTCTCTTTCTTTAACTTATATAAATTATTGACCTATTAATTTTAATTTATCTCAAATCTTGACATATTTCTCTCTTTCACCCTTTACACCTACATGAGCACTCTCATCAACGCTGAGGGATGGCCCAATGCCATGCACGCTGAGCGCTACCGGTATGTTTGAATAAAAAAACGACATCATTTTATTGAAAAAGAAAAAAAAAAGAAATTTATGGTAAATTATTGGGGAAAAAAACTCTATTGACATGATACAGTTTTACGTGAACCTATCAGAAGAATAAAAATAACATAATAATTTAACAAAAAGATGAACATCAATCGGTAAAACAATATATAATAATTTAACAAAACTTGATAAAAAATCAGTCGGTTAAACAGTATTGTATTGTATCCATAATGTGTGTTTGTGTTGGGTTTTGTTTTATATACGCAGGACTGTTTATTACGGAGATTACAAGTGGAATGGACTTCACGAGCATGACTCACATTCAAGGCAGCAAGTGACTTCTTCGACCTCCCAAACTCCATTATAATTAGTTGTCAACTAATTATCTATCTCGTAACATACGTTTAATTTGTCTAAAGTCGAAACATTCGAAATATATATATATATATATTGTTTTTTTAGGTTTTTGGCGGAGATTTATATTTATATAGTTAGTAAGAAATCAAAAGCATCAAATATTTTTGCTTCATATATATGTGAAGCGTCTTCTTGCTTTTTTCAGTAGCCGCTTATGAGCATCGTAATCAAACAAAATGGAAAGATTCAAATGCTCCGGTTTCATGATTAGTTGGAAGGCAATATTGGTCTAAATTCTAATGCACCGCATTCGTGAAGAAAATAATAATAATAATAATATAATAAAACAAAAAGGATGGGAGGCGCTAAGTCCTTTTTACTAAGTTCATATCTCTCCATTTACCTTTTTTTTCAAAAAAAATAAAAATAAAAGAAGAAGAAGAAGAAAAAGAGAGGGAGGATGGAAGCGATAGTGGCCTAGGGTCATGGACTCCTCTCAACTCTCAAGCTCTATGTTTAATGAGTAATTTTGACAAATATCGCTTAAAATGGTACTATTAAAGATTTTTAGGTATCAATATTGACCTATTGAATTTTATCTCTTTAGAAAAAGTAATTTAAGAGATTATTATTGATAATTTGACAGATGTCGTCGGCGGCGGATCTCTAGTAACCGGTAGCATGCGTAATTTAACAAATTATTGTCTAAAATTTGACAAATTATTGTCTAAAATTTAAAAAATTATTATCTATAATATGATATTATTATCAAATGAGTAACCAGAACTCTATAAAGATGTGTTTAAGGGTCAGCTTTTGCAATTTTTGTTTTAGATTAGACTAACTTGGTCCATGGGTTTTCTATTTAGGTAAGAGCCTTCAAAACCCAAAACCCAGTGCAAGTTAGGGAAGTTGCTTAGTTACGCTATTTATAAATTAAATAATTTAATGAAAATAACAACATTCTCATTTTTTAAATAATAAATAATATTCTCTACAATTAACATTAAAATACTAAAGCCTCGCAAATGAAAAAAAACAAAACAAAATAATTTCTTTATGTATGATCGAAAAGAGCTACACATGTGTGACAGCGCGTCAACAATATCACGTGATAATATATAAAACTATTAATATTCACATGTGATTAAATGTTATTATATGTCATCAACATCAATACTCTTATCATTACCATCACATCATTGCAACGTAATTCAGTGGCTAACAACCATATGTTAACAAACAAAAAATAAGAAATTTGGCCAACATAATTTTAACTAGGATACCAAGCTTCTACACTTTGTCATGTGCACCAAAATTACCCTAAGAGATCCACCAAAACTGATCACTTGAGAAAACCATCAACCAAAACTAAGGTGTAGATGTGTAGACTTTGTATTTAGTATTTTACAAAAAAAAAGTTACACGTTATTCACCATCAGACTCTACGTAATTCCATGTCTTTGTTCAATGTATATTCGGCTTCAAACATCTTTATTCATATAATATATACGCATGGATGTATATAATATGCACACAACTCTATATTTGTCTGAAGCGTAGTGACTATAATCTTGGTAGCATGTGCAAGCGGATATGATGGAGAAGCAATTTGTTGAATGATCTTTTAAGGATTCAGGCCAATTTAACATTGCAGATATTGGCCTCGTTCGTTTCGTTGATTCGAGTTTAGAATTCAAGTTGAGATGTGATCTTATGTGAGAGAAGCGTAGTGACTATAATCTTGGTAGCATGTGCAAGCGGATATGATGGAGAAGCAATTTGTTGAATGATCTTTTAAGGATTCAGGCCTATTTAACATTGCAGATAATATCATTTAAGTCCATATACAGGTGGAATTAGGTGACTGTTTATGAGAGTTTTTTACTGTAGCAAAACTCGAATTCTAAACTTGAATCAGCAAAACAAACGAGGCCATATCATTTAAGTCCATATACAGGTGGAATTAGTTATACCTTTTTCTTTTTTTTTTAATAGTGGAGTTAAGAAAACTCATTCATATGACTTGATAGGAAAAAGGAATAAGATGGCACATGAATATGCCAAATAAAGCAAAAAACTATAAACACCGCCAAATCCAGACAAATCATTTAAGAAAATCATAGTAAATTGAAAGCAATATATATGAAATTATGAATAATACTTCATTCAACAACTATAGCATGTGCCTTAGTGTTTAAAAACTGCAAAGAATAATAGTAATAATAAAGTTAATAAAACAATGAAAGGGGAAACAGAATAATATCAGGAAAATTTCTTTCTTCTTTTTTTTTTTTTTTGGCAAAGATTTATAAGTTCAAATGATTGGGGAACCATATTATCAACAACCAAAACAATGGCCTGAACAATATATAATGTGTTTTCATATTACAATTTCCACCAAACATATTACATTACACCCCCCCCATAAAAAAAAAAAAAAAAAAAAAAAAAAAAAAAAAAAAAAGAACACAATAGAGATCAAAATGCACGTCACCACTCTACTCTAGCCACCAAATTTCTTCCCACACCGCAAACTTTCTAACTAGAGTTCTCTCCTCCATGTTTCCTATTCAAGAGGGAAAAAAAAAGTTGAAAAGAAAGATATTTGCAAGAGGAAATTAACCCTGTTACAACAGAAAATCAGCCCCACCAAAAAAAAAAAAAAAAAGAGAGAAGAAAAAAGCCTGGATGATAGCTAAAAAGATAAGGCTCACAATTATTTACTCTTCAATGAATGAACTTCCTGCTGCAAAACCACCAAGAACACCAGAGATTAGTAATATGTAAATGAAAGCCAATGGTAAAGAAGACAAAATATTTATTTAAGCAACAAGTCTTGTCTAAATAAGAAAGATTAAGGACACAAAATGCAATCTTGTCAATGAACATCTTCCTTTACACAATCTTTGCCATGTTGTTGAAAACTAGTTTAAGTTCAATTGAGACTCCCTTCTTAACATGCTTTCCTAAAACAAGATTGTCAAAAAAGCTAGTTCTATAACATACAGTTTGAAAAAAAAAAAAAAAAAAAAAAAACAAACAAACAAACAAATCTCTTACAAACATCTTCCTCAACAGACGATGTTGTTCATCAAAAGGGTCTAAACCAGGACACAATTTCGCGAAATTTTGAAAATTCCCTTCAAAACATAGTAAGAAAAAGGAAAGAGTCTAATTACTCACCTAAACTATCATCAGGACAAGCCTTGTGATGATGATTTTCCATGCACTTGAGGAGGTACTTGAAGGTCTCGATCTCACAAGGGATGGTGAGCCCGCCGCCATGATCGAATCCAAACTCCTCCTCGGCCTTCTCCAACAACACCTTGAACAAAGAGTGGCTAAGATAGCTGGTGGGAATTATGAACCTTCGAAGCTCAGGCCCAACATAGACAGCCAAATAACCCTTGGGGACATCAGGAGGCGGCTCGGGGCTCTGGCAGCTGTCCTCGTCGGAGTCGCAGCAAATCACCTCCGTTAGCCTCTTGTTGATCGCCGGAGGAATCCCCCCAGGATCTCCCTCGGCGTCGGGTTCATTTTCAGGCTTTGTAGGAGATAGTGTGACGGATTGCCACTTTTGGAGGATTTCCTTAAGCCTCACAATCTGTCTTATTCCGGTCAACTTGGCTCTAATGTTGTCATCCATTGCTAAAACTTACATGCAATAGTTATGAGAATCCCAGGACAGAATTCAAAGTAATCTCTTCTAATTCCACGAGAAGAAAAATGAAAAAAAGGAAAGGAAAAAAAAAAAAGTCTCATTACATATTCTTCCACTAAATTCAAAAATTTAAATTTTTGGATGAATGTGAAATAGAAACGCGGCCTCGTTCATTTCATCGATTCGAGTTTTTAGTTTTAAGTTTCTACAGTAAAAAGCTCTCAAAAAATGTCACATCTAACTTGTTCTGCTACAATGAAAAGCTCTCAGAAAATGTCACATCTCAACTCGAATTGAAAACTCGAATCCGCGAAAGTGAACAAGGCAGACCTTACTTTTTGCCTACATTTTCAGCAAAATTCCCATATTTATTTATTTTTTTTCAGAGATCAACATGCATTCCCAGATTCAACAAGTACGAGAATCCCAGGACAGAATTCAAAAGAGTGTCTTCTGATTCCACAAGGAGAAAACAAATAAAAAAAAGTCTCATTAGATCTTCTTCCAATAAACTCAAAAACAAAATTTGGATTTTTTTTATACGAAATTTTGGATGAATTTGAAATAGAAACTTTTCAACTCCCCTCGGATTCCAACTTTAATTTTTGCCTGCATTTCAACAATTTTTTTTAATTTGAACTTAATCATTATGTAAATTATTTCCTTCAAAATAAAATCATTATGTAAACTATTCAAACATAAACCTCAAACTAAGATCCATGTAACATATATCAAAATAGAAATAACCCTTTAGATCTCCAAACACATTACATATGAGTTTGTTTGTGCATATTCCAAAATCCCCATATCCGATAAAGAAAAGATATTATACTAAACCAGAGAATTCAAAGCCAAAAAAAAAAAAGTACAAATATGAAAAAATATGGCGTACGTAAAGTATTTTCGTTTGTGCCAAACAGTACCTGATGAAGGATGACGTCAGCTGCGAGCCCGAAGAAGAAACTCCATGGGAGCTTCGGAAGCGAGCTCTCCAAAAAATTGGAAGATGATCTCGACCACCTCTGGTTTCTTTTTTTTTGTTCCTTTCTTTTTGGGTTTATAATTTTCTATTTCCAACCACTATATCTAAAAATACGATTCCTCAAAAACCCAATTTTGGATACAGATGATGAAGAAGGATGATGAAGAGGGTTTTGGTTTATCCTCAGCAAATCTCGGAGGAAAGTTTTTCTCTTTCTATCTCGCGGGACCGACGCATTCGGCGGGATTTGTTTTTCTCGGGAAACATACAGAAAGGAATACAGAAACAAACGGTTTCTGTCGCGCTTGTTAGTTTTCTCAACGATCCCAAACGGAAAGGGCGGAAAAAAAAACACGAAATTATGAACACTTTTTTTTCTTTTTGGGAGGCGAAATTTGATTAATGATGTTGGTGCTTGTGAATTGTATAACGAAACTTCGCTGATTCGAGTTTATAATTTGAGTTGAGATATAATTTTGTGTGAGAACTTTTTACTGTAATAAAAAAATTAAATGTGACTGTTTCTGAGAGCTTTTTACTGTAATAAAACTCGAATTCTAAACTCGAATCAACGAAATGAACGGATTAATTATTTTACTAATTTAAATTTTTAATTTTAAATTTTTATAATTAAAAATTTTTAATAAATGTCATAATTATTTTTTTTAATATAGTTAAATTTTTTTAAAAATATTACATTTTAATTTAAATTTAAAACTTAAATTCGTAAAAATTACGAGGCCGTAATCTCTCTAAAGGAAATGAATACATAAACTTAGAACGTTATGTATTATAAAATTACAAAAGTTTGAAAACAAAAATAAAAATAAAATACAATTTCTAACAAAAAATAAAAAAAAAATGCAATAAAATAAAGAGAAAAAAAAAAGAAATAAAAATGCTTTTCTCAATTAAGACTGAAATTGGAACCCACGTGCTTCAAAAGAATCTTCGTGGACCCGACAATTTTGCCACTTGAGAGTTGAGACTTCACTATTTTTATGTCTTTTTATTAAAAGGGAGAAAAACGTTAGGCCGTTTCTTTTTTCCTTTTTTCTTTCAGAGAAAAAAAATGAAGTTCTTACTTTTTTATATTAGAATGAATTTCTACTTTAATCAAAAGAAATTCGCTACTTAAAGGATTGTTGTCTTCATTTTGTATAAAAATTTAGTTTTATTTCTTTTTTTACTTTTTATATTTTATTTAATTTTTAGCTTTTTAAAAAGAAATTTAAATATGGGTGTTTGAATATCAATTTTTAGGGGTTGCTCCGCCTTCTCCTCTATCGTCTTCCAATCACTCCGTTGCTGATGGGCACCGAGGGTTACCCTGCAAAAAACACTCTGATGCTCAAGTCAAGGGAATATCCAAAGGATCTCAAAATGAACGGAAAGATAAAGAGAGAAATTTAAATTAAAAGGAAAAGTCTTAACGTCACAAAAGTGTCATCTTTTTGGCCAAATGATCCTTTTTCATTCCTTATCATTTTCTATTTTATACGATAATTATCATGATCATGATGGATATTTTTGATCCATCATGATTGTGACACATCATCATTCTTTTTCCCCTTTAGGGTTTTTCCTAAAATATCTTTGGAAAGATTTCAGAAGGTTTCCTATCCAGGAAAGGTTATTGTCAATTCTGTTATTCACTTTACACACGTTACATTTGGGATGACCGCGTTAGTTAAAGGATAGCGGGACACGTGTCACTATATCGAGATTATCCCTTTGACACGAGTCATGCGCGCTTTCCCCTTGATCTTAGTATGCTTCATTCTCGAGCGCGAAGTCCACTGCTGGCGTTGGTCTTGGTCTCATTCTTACCCATAGATCGAGGTCTATTCATTGCCTCGATTGAGGTGGGCATCGATACCTTCGCATGCCTTGGTCTCGGCTGAGTTCGTGACACATGTCATGATCTTAAACTACTTTGAGAAAATCCCCCAACAATGGGATATTTGCATTCTACAGTTGCACTAGAGTCATGTACAAATTCAGTGGGGATAAAATTCATTTGGTACCTTTTGTTATAGTAAAATATCTCGTTGATATCTTGTTATATGTCTTAAAAACCAGTGTCAGAATACATAAAGAATGTTCTTTAAAAGTGAAAGTACAATTTTAATATTATTAAAAATATAAGATATTTCACGAGAATTAAAATGATTTTATCCAAATTTAATATTATGTTATATGCCTGAAATCACAACAAATCTCTTTTTTACCGTCAAACTTTGCATCACATGCAAATGTCAAAAGACATTTGATACTACGGATGGCATTTTTCTTTGAGGGGCCATCCTTAAAGTGCCACTAATAAGGTGGAGAATAAATACTCTTCGGTCCACCTTTATTTTAATTTTTTTATTAAGAGAAAAAAAAGATAAAAATGAGTGGTAAAAATTTACACTTATGCACTCTTAAAGGTGAATTCTGTAATGTTCTCTATTTTTTTAATCCTATTTAGTTTAAATTTTGAACTATTTTCCTATAATTTCTTCAAAACTTTCATTGATGATAAATACCATGATGGATACTGAAACAAGTATAGAGAAGACTATTCAACACAAATTTATCCACTCCATCCCAGGTCTTTTCTTATTAGAAGCGATAAACCATTTTTCAGTTTTATCCGTTGTATTGTCATCCTTATTTGACAAGTTGAATTTATGTAAAATGAAATAACAAAAGGAACGAGAAGTACAAATTTTGAGGCGCTTGAGTTTTCTCTTTTTGTAGGGGTCACATGCAGTAACGACTACCTTTATTTTTTAGGACCAATTTATTTATTTCTTTATTTTAAAAAGAACATTACAACTTGTAAAGTTAATATTGTCATTAAAAGGGAATTACATAACGTGGACGTAAGACATCCAAGTGAAGGAACCGTTTCTACAGGCCCCAAACACCCCCAACCCCCACCCCTCAAAAAAAAAAAGTTGAAACTATTTACTATTTAGGTCTCGTTCACTTTGTGGATTCGAGTTTTCAATTTGAGCTGAGATATTACATTTTTTAAGAGTTTTTTACTGTAGCAAAAAAGGTTAGATGTGACATTTTCTGAGAATTTTTTACTATAAAAACTTAAAATTGAAAACTCGAATCGGTAAAATAAATGATGCATTAATAATTGAAAAGACGTGGGAAAATGTTAAGGTACTCTTGACTCCCCCATCATGTTTAAGAACAACGAAGGCTATCTCAATTATAATGAATTAACTAAATAAATAAAATAAAACTCTACACTGCCTCAAATATGATACAGTTTAAGGAATCATGGGCCCATTCGGTTCGCTAATTCGAGTTAAGATGTGATGTTATATGAGAGCTTTTTACTGTAACAAAAAAGTTAGATGTGACTGTTTCTGAGAGCTTTTTACTGTAGCAAAACTCAAATTCTAAACTCGAATTAGCGAAATAAACGGGGCCATAAATAATAATGTGAAAAGCGTGATATATCCGGTGAAAGTTGGGATGACGCTAATAACAAATAACAATGAAAAAGATCATTTTAAAAGTTGGGATGACGCTAATAACAAATAACAATGAAAAAGATCATTTTAATGTAAATAATGAGGAAAACAGAAGTGGGATGTGCTGAGAAGTGAGAAGGATGAGACACCAACATATGAAAATATTAGAAGAGAGAGCCTCATTCATCATGAAAAGGGCTTATTGTGTACTTTGATTTTTTTTTTTCTTATGAGCTTTTGTATACTTTAATTAGTGACGATTGTTTTTTTTTTTTTTTTTGAAGGCTAATTAGTGGCGATTAAGATCCTCTTCAGATTTTGCTGTCAATGCAATCATATGTGAATATGGACTAGTTTTTGCCCCCTGTTTTTCTACTTATTTGAACAAATTAGATATTTTTGCAAACTAATAGTAGCTGGGAAGCAGTTCAAACGGTTGAGTGCTCGATTTGCATGCGAAAGGTACGGGGTTCGATACCCCGCTTCTCCAGTTTCTACTTTCCGTCGACTTTGCCATAATTTTTGGTTTAATTATATTATTATTTATTTACGCAAACTATTTTTCCTTCTCCTAACAGTTACATTTCAATTCCCAGTCTTGCTTTTAAACTGGTTCTCTTTGCGTCGGTTAGTGCTTCTCTTTCTATCTATGCGTTTGTTGATAATCTTTGATTCATTCATAATTTTTTCTTTTTAAAAAAAAAAAAAAAATTTCTCATCTTTCTCCCCCTTAATTCATTCATTGTTTTTAGTTTATTTTTTTTTTATTTTTTTCTATTTTATTCTTGTCCCCTGTCATTATATGCTCTTGTCCTCTTCACTTAAAATGTTATCGTTCATTTCAAATGTTCTTCTTGCCCTTTTCATGTTCGTGTCCTTTTTGGAAAATTTCTTATTTGTTTTATAGTAAACTCTCGTCATGCATGTCGTTTCTGAATACTTGTATCATTTTCAAAGTTTTATGTCCTTTTATTTAGTTGTCGTATTTTTGTTTGCCGGAGTAAGTCCCACTGTGGTAGCTCTTTTCAGAGCCCAAAAGCAATTTTACAGCCATCCGCAGCTACTATTTGTGACCTCGTTCATTTCACGGATTCGAGTTTTCAGTTTTAAATTTTTACAATAAAAAGTTCTCAAAAAATGTCATATCTAACTTTTTTTGCTACAGTAAAAAACTCTTATAAAATGTCACATCTCAGCTCGAATTGAAAATTCGAATCCGCAAAGTGAACGAGGCCTTTATTTGTAAAAACTCACGAAAAGCAGTTACAAGAGAATCTACATCAAGCAACAGAAGCAACAAATTTTTGATGTTTTCTTCTTAGATTCCCAGTCACTCACCTCTGAGGTATTAATATTTTTATAATACCAAATATACCCCTAAAAAAATTTAAAAATAACCAACCGTGTTCTGAACACTAAGGGTGCGTTTGGAATTGATTTCAAATTGTTTTTGAAAACGTTTCTATACGTATTTTGAGATACTAAAATGAAAACGGTTTGCAAACCGTATTTGTTTAGCAAATGTTTTGAAAATGAAAATGAAAATAAAAAATAGTGAGAATGATTTTTGTGAATGAATTAAAAAACGGTTGAAAGTTATTTTTCCTTTTCTGTTTTCATTTTCTAGTACGTATAAACAATGTTATAATATATTAATTAATAATTATAACCAAATATGATTTCATTTTTTTATTATACTTAAAATAAATTTTTTTAAAATTAACTAAACACAATTTTAAAATCGGTTACAAAATTATTATCAAAACAATCTTATTTTTATTTTTATATTAAAAATAAAATTATTTTAAAAACGTTACCAAACAGCCTAACATTTTTGTTTCATTATCTTCACCAAAAGCCCCAAGTCTAAGTCCCCGTCTTGCATTTCTGAAATTGGAGAGTTCAGCCCAAAAAGCTTTTCTTCAGGTACAATAGGGGTGGCAATTCGTGTTGGCGGGTCGTATTTGTGTCGTGTTGACCCCCTCAGTTGACACGAATAGGTCTGACACGAACACGACCCGTTTATTAATCGTGTCGAAATACAAAACCCAAACACGACCTGTATATTGGCGGGTTGACACGACACGAATAACCCGTTTATTAAACAGGTCATAAACGTGTCGTGTCAATCCGTTAATTACCTATCAACCCATTTATACAATGGGTGATAAATGAGCCGTGTTAACCTATTTTTGAACCTGTTTATAAAATAGGTGATAAATGAGTTGTGTTAACCTATTTCTGAACCTATTTTTGAACTTATTTATAAAATGGGTAATAAACGGATTGTGTATTTGTGTTACCCAAATATGACACGTTTAATAAACGATTTATGGCGGGTCAATTTTGAGTTGACAGGTCAACCTGAAAATGACACGTTATTTAATCGTGTTTCACAGGTTCGACCTGATTTTGACCCGTACCTATTTATGATAAATCTAAACCCGTTAATTTCGTACGAATTTTAAGTCGTGTCGTCGTGTCTCTATCTAGATTGCCAGTTCTATACGATATGATTGCTTCATTCTTTTCCTCCTTTCAGAATTGGATTGTTTTTCCTTATACTCTTTTGGGTTTTAGGTTTTGGGTTTTTGTTTGTTTGTTTGTTTTTAATTTGGGTTTTGTGTCGTGGTACTTTGCTATAATCAGTTTTTTTTTTTTTTTCTTTTCTGAAAGGACTATAATCAGTTTTCATTGCATATAGTAATACGATAACTTCCCTGCTAGTTGCGGGGCTCTGGCTTACTAGTGGTTATCGTTTTAGTTAGTTGTCTCTTTCCACGTTTTATGTCGTTCAACAAGCTCATTGTCGTTTTCAGAAAAAAGGGGTCTAAAACATAAGCCCAAACTCCAAACTCTAAAGCAAAGCCTCAAACGACGATCAGAGATTGCCTTAGGTAATTATATATATTCTCCATTGAATTGTTTGTCGTTTGTAGAATCTTCTTTAATTTCGGAGCTCCGCTTGCTGCTAATTCAACAAGAACAAGGTTCGTTCCTAGGGGTGTAAATTGGCCGAGTAGGGTAGGGTTGAGCCGAAAAATTGAGCTTACCCGATAAGTGCGGGTTGAGAAAATTTTAGGCCGTGACACTCTCTTAAGTCTACAAACCCGCAACCTTTCGGGTGACCTCGGGTAGGGTCGGGTTACTCGGGTTGGTGAAAATCAATTTTAATCTATAACTTCATCAATTTTAATCAATTTTTAGTCAATTAATATGTGCTTGTTACAGAAGAAATCATTATCAAACAGAACATGTCTTTCCTTCGAGAGGGGGTCTAAATGCAACGTGAACAATTAAAACACTCACTTTGAAATCAAACACTTCAAATATAAATAAAGAATGTCATAATTCAACAACTATGACATACAAACATTTTTTACACAAACCGTGAATCCAAAACATAAATAAGTTAACAGTTTAAAAGCATAAAGTCTGTAAACTTATGAAAATAAGAATTTGAAGTGTTGGACATTGTTTTACCTACTTTGAACATGTTCGGCTGGGTAGGGTTACCTCGGGTTCATGTAACCCCACCCCGCGCCCCTACCCGCGCAGGGCGGGTTAGGCATAATTAAAACAAAAAATTAAATAAAAAATTAAATAAAAAATTGAAAACCCGTGATTTTTGAGTAGGGTCAGCTCGGCCCAGCCGGGTTCATCGGGTTCGGGGTGATTTCTTACAGCCCTATTCGTTCCTTTCTCATGGTCTCTTCATTATTTTATTTTTCGTTCGTTTCTTCAGTTTTTCATTTTTTTGGAATAAATTACTTTTTCCTTTTTCCTATTTCCATTACTTTTGTGGAGAACTTAAATATTTTAGGAACAATTGATTTTTGAACATTTCCTTTTTCGGTTTTCATTATTTATCTTTTTGGAAAGAAAAAAAGTTTTAATTTTTAAGGTGTGTTTGGAACTCAAATTTTAAGAGGGAAAAGAAAAAAAATGTGAAGGAAAATATTTTTTGTATTTGGAACCATTACCATATGATGAAGTGGAAAAAAATAAAAAGGAAAATAAATAGAAAAATTTATAAAAAAAATCATGGATTTTATTTTCCTAATAAAATGGTGAGGAAAATGGAATTTGAGTGAGGAATTCAGCCCCGTTCATTTTACTGATTCGAGTTTTGCTATAGTAAAAAGCTCTCAGAATTAGTCACATCTAACTTGTTTGTTACAGTAAAAAGCTCTCATATAAAGTTACATATCAACTCAAATTAAAAACTCGAATAAGTGAACTAAACTCGAATAAATGATTTTGTTTTCAGTAAAAAGTGAAAATGAGATTGTTTTGAAAATCATTCTGAAATAGATTTTAAAATTACGTTTGGTGGTCTTTCAAGAGATTACTTTGAGTATGATAAAAAAGTAAAATCGTGTTTGGTTACATTTATGTTTGTTTTGAGTATATGTAATTAATAATCTTTAATTAATATATTAAGTAATTAATAATTGATAATTATTTAGCAAATAAAAATTAATATATTAATAATATGATAATAATGGATAAATTATCATTAATGAGTACATTAATAATTAAATTATATATCTAATAAATTAATATGCTAAATAGTTAAAAATAGTAATTAGTAATTAATTATAAGTAATTATTATGTTAGTAATGTACTCATATTTATTAGATTATAAGTAATTAATTAGTGTATTAAGAAAAATAATTAGTATATACTTAATTTAATAATATTCTGTTTGCTAACTTTTAGTTACATAATTAATTAATTAATTAATTAATTCCTAATGTTTATTTAATAATCTATTATTTAATATATAATTGATTAATTACTAGTTATCAATTATTAATTATTATTAATTAGTATATTACATATTGATAATTATAATATAATATTAATTATTAATTAAGTAATTACTATTTATTTTAATTATTATTTTATTTATTATTTTATTAACAAAATTAAAAACTTAATAGTAATAAATTAATCTTTAATTAATAATTAAGTAATTACTATCTATTTATTAGTTATTAAGTATATATATTTATTAAATATTAATTAATATATAAATAATTAATAATTAATAATTAATTATTTAATATAATTTTGTTGATAAGTACTAAAAAGTAAAAAAAAAAAAAAAAATTTAATCATTTTTTATTTTTTTTATAAAAATCATTCACATTAATTTTATTTTCATTTTCGTTTTCAAAATTTTTATTAAATAAACGACCGTTTTCATTTTGATACCAAAAAAAAACGCAGGAAACGTTTTTAAAAACAACTCCATACGCGCCCTAAATTTCTCGATCTTTCCCTCTCTACACTGCTAGCTCTCTCTCTTCTTCTCCTTCACCTCTCTCTCTCCTCCCTTCACTTCTCGCTCTCTCTCTCTAGCACGGGTTGATCTCCGACGACGACTGAAGCTCTGACGGCCGGCCGATTTGAGCTTTGATGGTAACTTTCTCTCTCCATCTCGTTCTCTTTCAGAATTCTAATTCTTCTTCATTTTCAAGGTTTTTACGGCTAGATTTGAGGAAATTATAGGTCAGTGAGGGAAATTTGGGGGGGAAATTAAGAAACGATGTAATGAATTGAATTGCAGTCAAATTGGGGTTTTAGGTTCAATTGAACAAGTAATTTTGGTTGATGATCGATGGTGTCCGATTTCTTTTTGTGGCATATTGTTGTATCATTTTGTTGCCTCTGATATTGTTTGTTCTGCGTTTCTGCTGCTGATATTTGTTGGCATTTATGAACCAGGTATAAAATAGGAACGATCAAAATTAGATGCTTCCCTTGGAGTTTAATGTAGGCTGTAATTTGGTTGTGGATGTTGGATTTTTATCTATGTTTTCTCATTCGTGTTTAATATGTAGACCCTTTCCTTGAATGTTTGAAGAATTTATGTTTCCACTGTTAAACTGTTATATATTTCTTATTGTTAGTATTTGCTTGTGAGTTTTTGAAAAAGGGGACATGGGTTGTCAATAATTTTGCTTTAAGTGGAGTTCGAGTATGCGTAGCTTTGGGAGACACAAAAGACATATAGGCTCTTTTAAGTTTTGAATTGGGTTCTATTAGAAAAGAAGGTGATGTTATTTTCTTCTTCATGTTTATTTATTATTATACATGGAATTCTCTTAGACTATTGAGAAATCTTCTCAATTATGTTTCTGGGGCTGTTTTGATAATGCATTTTTCTATAACTTCAGCCTTTGAGAAAGCAATTATACTCTGCCCTTGAGCAAGAGATTATAAAAGTCTACATATTCTCAGTAATTTGTATGTATATATGTTCAATATGGATGCTATTTTTTGAGGGTACATGGTATTGTAGGTTGCTAGACATTAGTAGAGGGTGGTTTGGAACACTTACCCTTAGGAGTTTTTGATGCATTTGGGACACCTACATTAGTAGAGGGTGGTTTGGAATACTCACACTGTTTCTTTGACAAGCACTAGATAGAAAGGTTTTTAATACCATGACACTTCCATCTTTCTGAGAAAATCTACTTTCTGGCACTAGAACCTATGCTCTGCTTTGCTTTTGTTTCAGTTCGAATTAGGGATTCAGTGAGGGCCTACGATTATGTTAATGTCTAAACTTTCAAGAGTTGGATTTTTGTTGTTTAAAGAGCTCTCTAGAGGTATCTCCCTCAAAACCCATTTCTAGTTTTCCCACACACACACACACACACACACACACACACACACACACACATATATATATAGAGAGAGAGAGAGAGAGAGTAGATTTTGGACTTGTTTTTCATTTGGTGACTTCATGTTCTTCTTATGTCAGGAAAATCTAGAGCCATAACTGGAGCTGGATATACACAGAGGCCTTTTAGCCAATATTTGCAAACGCTGGTTAGTTCTTGTTTTTTCTTTTCGGATTTTCAAAGTATAATTGCATTTTTTTTTGGAGCAATATTTTCACTTTTGAAGTTGCACATTGTTCTGAATGATCATGAAGTGCTTGTACAACTATTTGAGCTTTTGTATTTTGATTACTGATGGCACTCATATTGATTGTGGTGGCATTTATTCTTTGTCTTAGACTATTCAATACAGGACCAAGATAGATTAAGGAAAGAGAGACAATAAGAAGAAGAAGAATTTAGGAAGAAGAGAGAACAATAGAGAGGAAATCTGTACATTGAATTAATAATCATCAAGGTCCAAAGTCATAATACAAATGCTAGGTCTATTTATAGATGCATAAAACCTAAATTAAGATAAACATAACCAAATAACAAAATACACACAAATAAATTCTACATTAATCCTAATAGAAAAACACATATTTTAAATTCCTAATTACTCATATCTTGTTCCTCATTGCTGTTAGTTTAGTTTACTGATAAGCCTCCCCTGCGGTTCACTTATGCTAGGAAGAGATTTCATGGGAAGAAACCCGCAGGAGCCGGAGACGGGGGTGCAGCTGCAGCACAGGAGAACATCTCTACTGGTGGTTAGGAGGTGGGCTGAGTTGGCACATGAAAGGAAGGGGATTGGAGGAGTTAGTTTTGCCTAGAAGTTTGGAATTACGTGTTGAGGCTTTTCGGTTAGGGAATGTTAGTAATCGGAATAAATAGGATAAGGAAGAGAAAAGAAGGGGGATCATCTTGCTAGAAAGAAATCAATCGAGCTTTGCTCTAGGGAGTGCAAGGGGTCACTTTAAAACCCCCATATCTTGTACTCTATTCCTAATTTCCTCAATAGGAATATTAGTATTATTTCAGCTTGATTGATCAATTTTCTTGCATATTTGCTCTAAAGTTGTGTGATAGCTTGTGGTTCTATCATTTACCTTGTTCTGTTCAAATCCAAATTTCCTATGGCTAGAATATATATTGGAATCTTGATAGAATTTGATGAAGAAAACTTATAAATGATTTCGATTGCATTGTTTTGAAAAGCAGTTTGAGAGTCGTTTCAAAATGATTTGATGATCTTTATTCATGTGCCTAAAGCATTCCATGATTTGAAAAGAAAACAAAAAGATTAACTTTCCAAATTGTTTGGAACAAACTAGACATGTTGGGAATAAAATGGAGATTGAGATCAATATTTGGGTGTAATAGACATACTACTTTGATTATGTGAAGCTTACATATGTTATTGATGATAAGTTCATCATTTTAAGTCCACTAGAATTTTAATGAGATTTAACAATTGCTAATTATTCATTTTCCTACGTTCATTCTGTTTGCACTTTCTTGTTCTATAAAACAATTTGAAGCAGTCAGAAATTAAGGTGTCAAAAGGAGCAATCTTTCAGAAGTATCGCCATTTTTCTTCAGCAGCGACCAAAGATTCTTCCGAGGAGGGGAGTGAAGAGGAACAAGAGTAAGTAGCTTTGGTTTTGTGTTTCATTATTTTGCTGATTTGGTCAACTATTTTGGAAGATATTGAGGCACAGAAGTTTAGAAGAAGCATTATTAGTTGAAGGATATATTGGTACATTGCTGTTCTCTGTTTTGTTCTACCACAAGGACGTTTATGGATTCACTGTGAGAGAGTTTTTTACACTAGTGGCATAGATATTCTTGGTGAAGCATGTTGTCGTCTTAAATTTCTCAAGTTTTGATTATGTGTTTTCTTTTTCTCACAGTTTTATTGTCTATTCTCCAGGATATCTGTGACATTTGTTGATAAGGATGGAGAGGAGAAGCACGTTAAGGTTCCAATTGGAATGTCGATGTTAGAAGCTGCTCATGAAAATGATATTGAACTTGAAGGCAAGGAGTTTCTGATATTGCCTTTCTGATGCCTCCTTTGTCTAGTATAGTGCTTTTTTCTTGCTTTGCCTTGATGCATTCATCAACTATTTTATTTTTGTTAATTGTAATTTTACGGAGTCCAATTTTCTCCCCCTTTTAGAGGTACCAAATTCAAATCTTATTTCATTAGCATGCTCCGTCTTACTAAACAGTAACAGTGCTGTTGGATGTCCCTTGTTTTCTAGCATAACATTGGTTTGCATCTCTCACCACTCTCCCTTGTTTCTTTTTCTCATAGAGCTGACTTATTACCTTTTTAAAGGATAATACTTTTAAGAATTACTATCACGCTGAAGAGTCCTTAGTTTCTTTCATTCTAGTTACAAATATGTAATCCTCTGGTTTAAATGCTATATCAGGAGCATGCGAAGGCTCACTTGCCTGTTCAACGTGTCATGTAATTGTGATGGTATGGTACAGTTGCAATATACATACACAATAAAGAATTGTGCTTTTCGAGTTTTTTCTATGTTACATTATTTGTGGAGCTGAATTGTAAGGAGCTGATATTAGAATGTTATTGTAGGATGTAGAGTACAACAATAAACTAGAAGACCCAACCGATGAGGAGAATGACATGTTGGACCTAGCTTTTGGGCTTACGGAAACGTAGGTTCAAGAACTTGCTTGCAGAATTGTGTTTCTTTTTAACTTTTGTTCTCATTTAAGCATGATTGAACCTTATATTTGATGTTTGACAGGTCTCGTCTGGGTTGTCAAGTTATTGCAAAACCAGAACTAGATGGAATGCGATTAGCTATTCCTGCCGCTACTCAAAACTTTGCTGTTGATGGGTATGTTCCAAAACCACACTAGACGTGATAAAAGCGACACTGAAGAGAGATGGTTAAAGTTTTACAGATGTAATCATCCCCATTTTTGCAGCTAATATTTTTTCTGTGATAAAAATATGCCTTTGTGGGCATATCTTTTTTCTTTTCTTTCTGTTTTTTTTTTTGGGTTTCTATTGATTATTGCGGTTCTAATTATATTGCTGAGTGTATGCAATAAAACAAAGGTTTTGTTTTTTTTATTCCCACTCTTCCAAGATGCACAGGATCTGCATTTCAGCCAAATTCTGGACTCAAAACGACGATTTCTGGATCTTGGCTTTTAATTTCTAATAATTCCTTGTTCTTACATTTAGCTTTTGTTATTTGACTCTCCTTTTTGGTTACTGATGTAGAGTGGGAGAACTGATGTAGAGCTCAACGACTCATCGTTGGAGCTATTACGAACTACTCTTATGTTGGTTGTTGTTTCTTCATTTATGTTGTTTTGTTGTTATTTGCTGTCGTTCTGGTCTGTAAGAGGGATATAACCTCTGTTCCGTAATTTTGCTAGGGCAGACTTATGTTATTGTTCGACTGCTAGCTTGTCTCCTCCCAAGCTCTTGAGCTTGGTAATGGATTCCATCTGTGATTTGGCTCGACGAAGCCGAAATTCTCATTGGTATCAGCTCGATTTTCGAGTTTCAAAGGCTTGCTCAGTCAGTTACCCTTTTGTATGATACTGAGTAAGATGCAGATTATTATAGACGAGAGTTCGCAATCCTCCATATCTCTAAGGGATATATGCCAATGAAAACTTTGAAAGTCGATATCATGCTTTCAGTGCCATTAATTAGGTTTGAGCTTAATGAGTTATCTCTGTTGTTTTATCTCTTGCAAGATAGATTTCATCAAGTGACAGTGCCTCTTGTGTGTACGTCTGTAGCTGCAGAAATTACAATTTATGTATTGTTATTTATAAAATAAATAAATAAATAAAGCAAATGACAATTGGGTTTCATGGTTCTTATGAAAATCATGTTTATGCACTTTTCAATTTTCCGTTCACACTTGGTGGGTGGGTTGGTGTAACTTTGAAACTGGGAAAAAAACTCTTGGTTGGTCCTCTGAATCTCGTCTACAACATTTTTTTTGATTCAGTTTTTGGCAATAAGCAATTTGATTAAAATGCATGGATAACATGATTTTGAAACTCTAAATGAAGTGTTAAACTCTAATTTCTCTCATTTTCCATTCGGTTTAATCACTATTATTTTGCTTCATATTTAGCAAAATTGTGATTGTAACGTGGATTACATGTGAGACAAATATCCCCTTAAATTGCACGGGTCTTAATTTTTATCTTTACTCTTGGTTAAATCAAATATTAATTAAAATGGTATTAATCAAAAATAAAAGATAAAAATTTTAGACTTATGTATTTCTAAGGTAAGTTTAATTTTTGTACGGAGGAGAAATGTATAAACGGTGAAACCACTTTGAAAAAATTGGCACATAGCCACATAATCTGAGGCCTCAGCTAGGTTGCTTGATTATTAAGGTCCAGGTGGGCTTTTCAATAGATTTTGGGTCTTTTTCACTGAAACTATTTCTCAGATTCTAGACTGTCTGTCTTAGCATATAGTTTGTATCATCATCTTCCTTTCACAAAAAAAAAAAAAAGTTTGTATCATCATCTTGATGTTCTAAAAAGATATTTTGCACGTCAAAAAGTTTTGGTTTTGAAAACTTGTTCCTCTAACTTTTAATTTTAGAACTTCATTCCCCAACTCCCAACTTTCATAGTTGTTGCAATGTACCTCTTTTGACCATTTTTGGATTGGATTTGGGTGTTGATTTCGGGCCCGTTTAGTTCGTTGATTCGAGTTTTTAATTCGAGTTGAGATGTGATTTTATGTGAGAGCTTTTTACTGTAGTAAAAAAGTTAGATGTGACTGTTGTGAGAACTTTTTACTGTAACAAAACTCGAATTCTAAACTCGAATCAGCGAAATGAACGGTTCGAGATTTAAGTAATTTGTGTTTAACATTTTAATTGAGATTTTGGGGGGTTTTTAGTCGTCGGTGTTCTTTTTCATCTTCATGTGACAAGGTTGTTGGCTTGCTAATTTAATGACTTTTAGTAAAATAAGGCATATTGTAATGATTTTACAAGTCGAGAGTAAAGTGCTAAAATTGAAATTTGGAGTTGTCAAAACCTACAAAGTTCTAGAGGTAAGTCTTTAAAAAAAAAAAAAAAAAAACCCCCTTAAAAATCGTCCATTTGGTGTATAGTTTTCCGTTGATTTTTTATTATTATTTTTTTTCTGACAGTTGGTCTTCTGGATGATTTTGAGTTTCTACCTACATTCATGTTCTTTATTGTTTTTATGTGAAATGCAGTACCAAAGGAAAGTACAAACCAAACAAAGCCCCTAGGCTATAATGGGCTACACGTTAACTTTCCTTTTGATTTCAATGATATTTAGCGGTACAATTATATGGTAGCATGAAGAAGTACAAACACCAAATTCTGATGACAAAATCGAATGTGAAAACCACCCAGCAATTCTGTGTACTATATGGCTCTTTAATATGGAATTTTGCATGTTTTGACTGAAGCATCTCGTTAGCCTAATGTCACCCACCCATCATTCATCAATGAGACGCTCATCATAATTAATGACATATATACACGGCATTTTTTTTTTTAGTAATATATGCATATATATATATATATATACACACACACATAAATTCAAGAAAAAATGAAGAATTTATTCTTAAAAATATATGAGTACGGACCTTTACTTCTTACTCTTAATAAATATTTTTTTATTAGTATAATTATTTGACTAAAAAGATTATAAATAAAGAGTAAAAGATAAAAATTACGACTCACTTTCAAGAGATATTTGTAAAAATTACCAAATTATTTAAAATATTGTGCTGCGATACCCTTTTTTAAACGTCACATCATATCAGATTAAAAAGATATCACAATTTATCAAAAATGGTATTTATTTATAAAGCCATCTTATTTGTCTTAATGATAATTTATCCTTATTAAACACAAAAGAGAGCTCCACTTGTGGGGTCCACCTCTTTGTTTCTATGGAAATAAATTCTCAATAGAAACAAAAAGAGTTTTCCTTATCCATACTTTCCTGTAAAATTTTCTAAATAGTTCATTAACTTTCACTCTTCTATATAAAGTACTGATCAAGGTACTCTTGTTCAATGATTCAACATAGGAATTCCTCTTACGTTATTGATTCTTAATTAACTGCTTTTAATAATATCCGTATTTATGTTGGGCCAATGATTTTTTGAAGGACTTTTGTTGGCCATTTAACGTTATATTGTTCAATTAATTGAAATTATCGCGTTTAAATGTACACACTAACAAAGCACAAGTACACAATATATCATGTTTGCCTATGATTGTGTTTGAAATATCTCTCTTTTTAAAAAAAAAAAATCTTTAGAGTGGGAGATTCGAATTCTAGTGTAAAATTACCGTTAAGTTATATACTTGTAACTATAAAATGTCTTTTATTTTTATTTTTATTTTTATGAATAGATAACTGTTTTGCATGTTTATTAGATTTTGCAAAATTAGATCAATCAAAGTGCATGCCTTTAAAACCAAGAAATGAAAAAAAAAAAAAAAAAAAAAGACGAAAGGACAGTAGAGAGTTGAAACCACTCTCCTTATCATATTATTCATATCACTTTTTCATGTAATTCAACGAAATACTATACTTGTATACTGTCCTAAAGTCAAACTAGGTTAGTTGAGTTTCTCTTTTCAAAAATCCAACTTCTATGGTGCATGCGGGACTCAATTTTCTTTCCCCTAAAAAACGATAAGTGCCTGTCTGCCGTGCCTTTCGGAAATGAATAAAACGACAACTAAAGCTTGAGATTGTTTGTAAACCAAATAACAAATCTCAGCTAGAAAATTCCAACCCCAAGAGATGACCCGTCATAATTTTGTATTAATAGGAAACACCACCCAACCTTTACCCACTTACACATATAATGAGTAAAAAAAAAAAAAAAAAAAAAAAATCAAGTTGGAACTTGATTTAAGCAATTTAATTAATGCCATCTTCATGAATCATTTGAAAACAATATATGTATAGTTGTTTTCTTAATCGTCGTTTATACGTTACTCAAGGGACTCGTGTATTTGTATCATTTTATGTGTGGGCAAAATCAAAACACTTTTTAGGAGGTAATTATTATGACTCGATTAAGCCGTCCACGTTTTTATTGTTGGGGAAAAGAGAGGAAAAAATATTCCTTGCATTCACGTTTTGATGATGTCATGAATGAATAAATAATTATTGATTTATGTAATCATTAAAATAAATAAATAAATAAAGAAGTAGAGGAAGGAAGACAAGAAGAAGTTAACATGAAAAAGTTAAAAGCTAGAAAGTTACTTACTACACCCACTTGAGAAAGTGAAATTAAAATTGTGCATGCCTTTTTCTTTCGCTTTTTCTCTCTTCAGTTTTCGTTTTTGTTTTCTCTTTGCACGACAAGTATATGTTAGTCAAATAAATGGCCGAATCGCCGCCTGAACTTAGTTAATTATTGTTGTTTGAAGTACTGGTTAAATGAACACAATATATACAAATAGTGATATATATATATATATATATAGTGTTTTAAAAACAAGAATCACAATAGCGGAAGCAACAACATTATTAATAACATTACAATTATTATAAACACCGATAATATTCAATCATAGTAAAATAATATTATCAACATGCCTAGTTGTCAATCAAGACATTTAATTTACACTCCATTCCATTATTTTTCCTGGGTGTATGAACTATAGTCTTCAGATTGTATCTGAATTGTACACCTCAACTGCTTCACCAATTACATTAATCATGTTAAAGCTAAAACTAAAAACATAAATCCAAAATAAGATTACTTTCTCTATCAAGGGATTTTTTTTAACAATATATATATGAATTAAAATTTTAACGAATCTAATATTACCTAATTAATAATGTATTATCAGACAATGACCCTTGAAAACGAAATTCATAGGTAATACTAATGTAACCAAGGTGACCAAAAAGTTGTGTCAACACAAAAAGAAATACTAGTATATATGCAATATGTATGACTAGCATTTATATATATCAAGTTGTAACTGAATGTATCATTGATTTGTGAATTAGACAGAGGTAGTTACGCATGCATGTTTTATTCATCACTCGGTGAGTCAGTACGTATAAACAGTTCATATCTACTTGTACTTTGTACATGTGTGTGTGTGTATATATATATATAT